CCCCAAAACCCCAAAACCCCAAAACCCCAAAACCCCAAAACCCCTTTACTTTCTACCTTAATTGATTTAAAGTAACTTGTTAAAATGGTTAATATTTTTGAGGAGAATGAGGAGTTATTTCATCAATAAATTCGCCGTAAGATACCCTTTCATCCTTATTTTTGTCGAATCTGTCCATTAGATAGTTCAGCTCTTTGTTAGTGGCATAGAACCGATGCTTTGAAAGGAGTTCTGAGAAGTCCTCCTTGGTTATGTAACTACCTGAGCTGTTGATAGCCTGGAATGCATCAGAACGGTTAAATAACGGACGGAAGGAATTTTGTTGACGGATTGATTCAGCTTTTCTTTCAACCTCTATGGTCAGTCTCAGCACAAAAGCAAAGTTATTACGAGTGATAGAATCTTGGATTTCAGGGATCTGGTAGTACCCATCGGGATATTTCCTAGTCCGTAGATCTAAAGAGGTTGCAAAAACTCCATCAATTGGTAGGAAAATGTCGACAAATTCCTCGAAGGTAAGTTGCTCATCTCTATTCCGATCAAATCTAGACATGAATAGCCTAGCATCTTCGATGGAGATAGGAATTCCATATTGGTCGTATACTTCCTTAATTTCAAGTGTTGATATTTTTCCAAGGAAGGAGAGGTCAAATATTTTAAATGCATCATGAAGAGTGAAATCTCTGCGATGTGCAAGCATCTGCTTGGATTTTTCAAGCTCAGCTTCTTGTTTGATGAGTTCTTGAAGACAGAGTGCGAACTCCTCTTCTTCACATCCTTTCATAGGAGAGTCTTTCATCCTTTCAACAGTGGTGTGGCTTTCGATCCTCCCATGATTCTTGTAAGTGTCTGTAGTTATGATCTTGGAAGGAGATCTCTTCATTGGAGAGCATCCTCGCGAAGAGTACTTTATAGCAGTCTGAATTTTAGGAGAATATTGCTTAATTTCTTCTCTAACGGGCGAGTGATTTCTATGAATTAGATACTCTCTTGGAAGCCCACTTTCTTGTTGAGAAATTCTAGTTGTTTCTTTATGAGTTGAGTAATTATGAACGGAATTACTGAACCTCTCAGGAGGATTGCAAATCCTTGTTGGAGAATATTGATGCTGGAAAGTCTCGAAATGAGGCTTTGCTTCACTGTAATACGTATGACTATGCACTCTCGATGGACTATAGGGTTGAGGATCTCTGGTAGGATTATAGGGTTTAGAATATCTTGCAGGACTATAAGGTTGATGCTTTCTATCATATTCTCTGAATGATTTCTGATTGGAATGGGTGTCTGGATGGATTATATCTTTTTCATTAGGAACAGGAGTAGGATCAACAAATTCCTCCCTTCTTTTAAAAGACTTTTTAGAAGAAAGCTCAGGTCTTATTCCTCGAATTAGCTCTGAAAATTCGATATAGGAAAGAACTTCATCTGCATCTGTATCTCACCTTCTAATGATAGCATCAAGTTCTGCTTCTGACAAGAACTTTAAATGTTTCTCAACGAAATTTCTTATCTCATTCCGGTCTATGAACCCTTGGGGAGAAGAGGTATCAACCTGGTCAAAAGCACCTTTGAGTGAAAAGTCATATCTCTCCTGAAGATCGATCCTGATTCGCTCTGTAATTCTTTGAAAATCAATTTCCTTGGAGAAAAGTCTTGTCATTCGATCCTCCAACGAGGGATGAAGCTGTCTTTCTCGAGGATGTCCATGAGGCACTGTTCTCTCTTCAGCCATTACCCTAAGCCTCTCATTAGTAGTTGGGAGTACAAACTGCAAGAACTCGTCATAGGATAATTTAAGATTACCATTTTCATCAAACTGAGATATAACCAATTCAGCTTCTCTTGGGGTACAATTTAGGCCGTTTTCTTCACAGAAATCCAGAATATCGTTGAGTTCAATTTCTCCAGAACTGAATTTATCGATCCTACAGAACATCTGGGCGGGAATAAAGGTGGATCTATCAGCTAGTTCAAGCCGTTCTTCCTCTACAGCAATCTCTTCAGTTGCAACAGCTGTGAATAACTCCGCCAGTAATTTGCAAGTGCTTGTCCCGATCTGCATTTGATTGAAATTAATTTTATTAATTTTCAAATTTAAAATTTTTTCAAGGGGTTTTGGGGTTTTGGGGTTTTGGGGTTTTGGGGTTTTGGGGTTTTGGG